AACGGCACGCCAAGACCCGGTGTGGCACGTGAAAGCTCGGCGATATTGTGACTGATATAGACTAGAACTTGTAGAGAGATCTGCACTCTGCGACAGTGCAGAGTGGTGGTGGGCCAGCTAGAGAGGGTTCAAAACCAAGAATTATGTATTGTGTTTGGAAACATACATTTAATTGGGTGCCGAGGTGGCTTTTGTTATTTTATAGCAAACGGTCATGTTTTATAGCATTTTCCCCTTGAATTATACTTTTCGAACAAAATATTAAGGAGATTTTATCCCGTGCTCAAATTCTCTTCTATTATACTGCGTGAAAAACCTAGGAATTAAGCCACATTGAAGCTTACGTCACATAAAACTGCGAGAACTCAAATGCTAGTTAATTTCCAAAGCTTGCAGATGCACTTTGTCAAAAATATACTAATCATAGTAGAAATATCAGCTTGAGCACTTGTGTTCATATCATGGCAACCTGCTCATCCCTGTACTGCTCCTTCCTATCCACAGGCCATCACAGGACCCCAGCTGCAGTTTTTTTACCTTGTTGCTAGATGGCCAGGCTCCGTGCATGACAGCAGGATATTCGATAACAGTCGTGCAAGGGTCCTGTACGAGAATCGGCGCATCCCTGGCCTGCTGCTCGGAGATGCAGGCTATGCCTGCATGTCATTTCTTCTGACGCCCCTGACCAGCCCAGGTGTAGCCAACAGCCCAAAGGGCAGGTATGTACTAATTTGTTGGAAGAAATAATGGCATGAAATTCAGAACAGCTAACAAGAAGTGATGTTGTAGCCACAGTGTTCCTATTGGTTACTATTAGTTCTGCAAATCTTTGTCACAGCTAGATTCATGACCTTTAAGCCTTTGTATGGCAAAAAAAGCTGGCATTATTCACTTCCTGTGGACAAATTTTTGTTTCAAAAGTATGTCGCATACAACATTTTAGTTCTATTTTTATTTTCCTCGAGAACATTTGTTGTTCTTCCTTGTCACAGTTAGTCGGTGTCAATTGTTGCTTTTTGTCACTAGAATTGGACTACGGCCAAGAACTTGAATTAAGACGGTAATGTAGAAAACACCAGCCAAAACCACTGTATGCAGAACAGTAGCCTCTGGTAAGCAATAGAAAATGCCGAAAATGCAGCTAGCATGGATGGGCCGCACTGTACAGGTTACTGAACCATACTGATGGTTGCAGCAGTGGCGATTTTTACACCTGAAGACCTTTATCTTGCAACGTTGCTTCCATTACCAATGCTGCACCATATAGGTACCAAGCAGCTCACCTAAAAACAAGGAACTCGGTCGAACGGGCATTTAAAGTGTTCAAGCGACGCTTCCCATGCCTGGACATGCGGCTACAGTACAAGGCGGAACGGTCAGCCCTCATCATCACCGCCTGTGCTGCACTGCACAACCTGGCCCTGCTGCGAAAAGAGCCATGCCCACCTGCTCTACCCTCTCCACCAGTACCCCGACGCCGGAGGCGGCTGCGTCCTCATGTACTGCCATCACCTCCAGACCCTGTCGACACAATCAACGGCTCGCTGAAACGTACACAGATCATCGCACTGTGTTTCCAATAGGGATATTTAACCAGTAGCACATGTTTATAGTCAATGACAGGTCAAGGATAGTGTACAAGCTGGAGAGGAGGAAGCAGACAGAAGCTTGAGGTGGAGAGGAGAAACCTTCTCTCCACTTAAAGCTTCCATCCTACTTCTCATCTCCAGCTTGTACTCTGTTCTTGACCCGTCACTGACTCGTGCAAATACTCGGACACAACTTCAGTAGTAAGTGCTCGAATAAATTGATTTTCAAATCCAATTCCGCGTATTTGGTCAATCTAACATATTCTGGGAAAGACTTGTGGCCAGCACAGAGCTAACGAAAGACCTACCCTTCCCTTCAATTGTAGTGTGCTGTTTCATTCAACTTCCGAATATGCAAAACACATTAGGTTCTATCGTTTCACTACAATGTAGCGCACATAAAATAAATAAGTAAATCCTCGGAATGCTTTTAAACTGAAAGAACCCAAATTTAATTGTGATTTCCACACCCTTATAGCTTGCAGCGCAGGGCTGCCAGCTGCTCCACCTTTATCTCTCTCTCCAGCTGGAGCAGCTGGAACTCTGCCCGTCCGCGTCGTCGCTGCTCAAAAAGCTTGTTGCGGAGTATGCGCATTTGCATTAAATGTTGCGCCTCCTTCCGCCGATCTTCCCTCTCGAGGACGTCTACACGGGCCTCCTTTTCGGGAGCCATGATCCGCTCCAGTGCTGCGATGCGGTTTCCAGTTCTTCTGGATGCCCCGCTTGGCAGCTCAGCACGGGGGCAGGTGATGCTCCTTGCCGGCGGAGTCACACAAGCAGCTCCAACGCTGCTGTCTTGGAGAGGTGAGGCGGACGGATCAGGAGCATCTGGGCGTGCAAAACACATTGGCACTGTGAGTGCTAGGGGAAGAGGCCCAACAGCCACATGGGCCTTTCGTAGAAATGTTCAAAGCTAGGCGTTGGCAAATTAGTCAAACCTCGTTATATCGAACAGTGCAAGGACCGTGAAATAGTTCGATATAATCAAAATTCGATATACAAAGTCACACACAAAAAGAGTGACAAAGTACAGCGCGATTTAATCAGTGAAAGGCTAACGGCAAAAAATTACTATACTTCGTTTCAGCTTCCGTTCGAGCGCAGCCAAAGGCTGACGGACGCTTCGCAACTTCGAGAAGAGCATTTTTACGCATCGCAAAGTAGTCCGCAAAAGTAATTTCTTTTAAACAACTGTTTTGTGCGTAAACGTTGCACAATATTCCAGATGTGTACTGCTGAGAATGATTTGCAACTAAAGGAATTAAATATCTGAAGTTTAAGTTCTTATTAATATATGTAGATACATGTGGTTTGGTGAAAAAACGTCCGCTGGCAACACGGCTGCAGCGCTCAGTTTTGATTTTGTTCCTGTAATTGCCGAATAATGTGCTTCGCTGCTTGTTTGTTGCTTTCCTCACCGAGTCTCTTCAAAATGTCCTTTCGCAAAGGCATGTCTGGGCGTCGGGCGCGAGAGGTCGTGATGAATGTCTACTTTTCAATTCTGCAGGAGACTCCGGCCGCGTCGTACCGCAAATGCTTTGTAAACAAGAAAAGCGTCCAGGCCACTACAATTCCCTGATACACAGCGAAATCAGGGCACCCCTTTACCTGCCGATCACATTGTACGCCAAGAAGCTGGTAGAAAGGACTGTGGCTCGAGCCCTGGTATATCCAGACAATACAAGGAAACATCAACGGCCGGGTCGTCGGGCATCTTGCAATGTCTACTTACATCTCGAAACTATGTCGAAATGCCAAACAGGTGGAAAGCTCGGACACAGACGCCAGCGGCCAGCATACGTACTGACATCCCCTGCGACTAAATTTCAGAACGTGAAAGGTCACTTTTTAAACCTGTAGCAGACGATTTCGTTGATACACCCGTAGCAGACGAAATACTCGGTGAGCGCGGGCGGCGCGGACGGCCAGCGGCGCAGCGGAGCGATACCAAGTGCAGGCGAGATCACGTGACCAATTGCCGGCGTGTTGATTGGCTCCGGCCACACGTAGCTTTGGCTGCGTTCGGACGGAAGTTGAAACGAAGTATAGTATTCACGTGAAGCGTTAAGGTGAACTATTTATTCTGACGAAAAAAACTGCCGCAGCGTAGATTGCTGCATGGAGCTGACCGCATGCCTTATTACGGCCGGCTCCACTGTCTCCAAGCAGTCCACCAGCGCCAGATCACTACCGTCGATTGCACTGCAGTAGCGGCGTAAAAGTGAGACCGTCTTCCCGACAATGTTGTAACGGGCTTTGAAGCGTTGCAGCCACCCGCTACTTGCGGCGACGTTTTGTGCTTGGTGGATGAATGCGAAGTCCTTTGCTTTCTGTTGAAGCATCGGCCTGACGCCTGAATGTTCCGAGCCCTTGCGTCCATAAACCACTTGTGAAGTGATCTCTCCACCTTTTCGAAGGCCGGTGTCCGAACACGGCGTGCGCTGGAGTGCTTGCTTTGTTCAGCCTTTGGTTTGATGTCACTTTTCGTCTTCAGCAGCGTGCTCAAAGTGCTTCGCAGTATGTTGTACGCTTCGGCAATGCTGGACTTCTTTTCTCCTTTTTCAACGCGGCGGATGATTACAAGCTTTGTCGCGAACGTCAGCGACGTACGTTTCTTTACGATTGTTGCCATCGCCACATGCGGTTGACGCAACGTCGGAGGAGCAAACCCGGAGCCACGAAACTGCACATGCCCGAATGTCGCCGAATCTGGATGGCGTTCCCGGCACCACAGGCATAAAGCTTTATGCGGGCATGCGCTTGAATAAAAGTCGCAAACGCCTGCTGCGCCACCGCTATCCTCCGATGTGTTGCGGGAAAGCCCGTGTTCCAAAACTTACTCGATCTAACTCTAGGGTAAAGGTGGTTGTCGAAAACCTACCCGCGTCCAGCGTTTCTCTATTTTTGATGTCGCGTGACATAATCCGCCAGGGTAACTCGTATCCATTCGAGTAAGTTTGGAACGCAGCCTCGGTGTGTCGCGCTCCTGTACGCTATGCGCCGTTTAGTTGCTGCACTCGGAGTAGGAGGAGTAAAAGAGCGCCGACTTAACGCGCCCACTGCCACAGATACGGTACGCCGCCAACGACGGTTTGGCGGGAAGGCGGATGGCTGCGACTGCTGCTGGCGGCAGCTGCCACGACTCACTCGCTGTCGCGGAAGCGCAACGAGAAGGCACGTGATCTGTACTGAGTCTTCCCAAAATTCTGTGCCGTCATGGCGCTGTACGCTTTGCAACAGGTCTATTAACCACTAGTTTTGGTTTCAATTCACAGTACTATCAGTACTATGTCACGACCCACTGCTCGCATTTTCAATTTTGGAACTTCGAAGATATGTACAATAGTGTAGACGTTGCCGAGCAATAAAAGAAAAAGGCTTCGGTGCCTTTTTTCTGTTCCAGATTTGCTGTTAAAATGATACAAGTCGCAAATACAAGTAGACATGTTACGGCTCACGGTACCCATCCCCGACATGTTGGTGCAAATTTGTCCCAATCCAAAAGCCCCCACTTACCTGGCATGTCGTTCCAGCAGGCGTGATTGTCATTGCCTTCAGTGCCTCGCACCATTGCTTCAAACATTGCAGCCGGAGGCAGCGACAGCACTGGCCGGTCTCTTGCCCTGTCGCTGTCGCAGAGATTTGTGACCACTGTCCCCATGTGGTCTGCCGCCGCTCCCACAAGAATGAGTGAGGGGCTCATCGGTCGGCTTGTTCGTGGCCCACCTCCTGTGACAGAAACCAAAGAATTTGAAGCTCAGATTGGAGAGAGTGAACAATGTATGGGACGAACAATTCAAAAAGCACACTGAATTTTCGAAACGCCTCCGTGCGAGATAAAAACAATTGTTAAGGGGACTAAAGCGAACCTAACGAAGAGAAAATCTAGCACAACCCAGTGGAGGCCCACCTGGAACCTTCTTATGGGCAATTGAATGCTGGGCACTTTGTTAGGCTTCCGGCAAGATGCGGGGACCTCATTTGTTTTCAGTGACGATTGTAAAAAAAAAAAAAAAATGTCAATATCGCCAAATGTTTTACAAAAAAATATGTCAAGAAAAAAGCAAAGAAGTAGACCCACTTTGGATCGAACCTGGATCGGCTGCATGCGTATGAAGCGAACTTTGCAACGCTACAGCTTTGAACAACTCGTTTTGAAAATTCGTTTTATACGAGACCCGGAAAGGAGCACGACGTCGTGCACATAGCATTGTTCTGGTCGAAAGGACTTCTCTCCGATGTTTACTTTTTACACATCGGGAACGGTTTACCAAATATGCAAATTGTCGACTTACCCGTGGCGTGGATGTCTCTCGTCTCGTCGGACTTGGTTTTTTTGTATCTGGATTTTTCGTTCTCCCAACGCTTCTTAAGTTGCTTAGCGCTTCGTGGGCGGACGTTTGGCTGGCTGTTATACTCGGTGCTGAGTTTCTCCCAAGCTTTAAGTTTAGCCTCCTTCGAGTAGTTATTTGTCTTCTTGTTTTCAAGAACTCGCGCATGTTTCGTTACGAGCGCTTGGAGGAGCGCCTTCTCCTCCGCAGTATAAATAAAACGAGCCCCTGCCCGCTCTTCGGTATCGGCCATTTCCGAGTCGTTGCCGTTGGGGTCCTCCATGATTTGTCGTGCGAGGCGGCGAGGCGGCGAGGCGACGAAGCAGGGCTGCACGGTAGACAAAGGGCGGCGAAAGCAAGAAAAAACGAGACAAAATCGACAAACCGTGAGATAGACGACTGTCGCCGAGAGAACGACAAGACGCAGCCGACGCAGCTAGCGAATGCGCTTGTTGCCAGACAAGGTAACGACTTTGTCCGTTTTGCCGCTCAAACACGTCTAAACTTTACGCTGCCTTAATAAAACTTCGTAGTTCACTAATTCGATGTTTGTATGGTACATGTTTTTAGATAACACAAACGAATATATTTACTTTTCACGTAAAAACGGTGTTTTAAATAAAACCTTTGGCTATAATCTCGCTCCCAGACGTCCTCAAGCTTGTTGGAGTGGAGAACGGAATCTCGAGTTCGAGTGAGTGCCGATTCGCGTCTGTGAATGCCAATGGCACTTCGAGTGGAGTCGCGCGTCCATACTCCACTCAAGTCGAGTCGAGTTTGGAGTCGAGTAGGGGAATGTTTATGAATACGGCGGTAAGTCCCAACGTTTATTTTGGCAGTTCCGCCCGGCTCAGGAAGCCACAAAAATCGCTTTAGAATATCGAATTTTCTTTTAGAATTTAGCTGGGTATGTCTAATATCATATTCGAGGAGAGCATTTTGATATTTATAATAATTATGTTTCTGTATTTTTCTAAATTCTCGTCCCTGGCACCGAAAGCCGCGTCTTTTCGCTCTGGAGACTAAGTCCCAACGTTTATTTTGGCAGTTCCGCCCGGCTCAGGAAGCCACAAAAATCGCTTTAGAATATCGAAATTTCTTTTAGAATGTAGCTGGGTATGTCTAATATCATATTCGAGGAGAGCATTTTGATATTTATAAAAATTATGTTTCTGTATTTTTCTAAATTCTCGTCCCTGGCACCGAAAGCCGCGTCTTTTCGCTCTGGAGACTAAGTCCCAACGTTTATTTTGGCAGTTCCACCCGGCTCAGGAAGCCACAAAAATCGCTTTAGAATATCGAAATTTCTTTTAGAATGTAGCTGGGTATGTCTAATATCATATTCGAGGAGAGCATTTTGATATTTATAATAATTATTTTTCTGTATTTTTCTAAATTCTCGTCCCTGGCACCGAAAGCCGCGTCTTTTCGCTCTGGAGACTAAGTCCCAACGTTTATTTTGGCAGTTCCGCCCGGCTCAGGAAGCCACAAAAATCGCTTTAGAATATCGAAATTTCTTTTAGAATGTAGCTGGGTATGTCTAATATCATATTCGAGGAGAGCATTTTGATATTTATAAAAATTATTTTTCTGTATTTTTCTAAATTCTCGTCCCTGGCACCGAAAGCCGCGTCTTTTCGCTCTGGAGACTAAGTCCCAACGTTTATTTTGGCAGTTCCGCCCGGCTCAGGAAGCCACAAAAATCGCTTTAGAATATCGAAATTTCTTTTAGAATGTAGCTGGGTATGTCTAATATCATATTCGAGGAGAGCATTTTGATATTTATAATAATTATTTTTCTGTATTTTTCTAAATTCTCGTCCCTGGCACCGAAAGCCGCGTCTTTTCGCTCTGGAGACTAAGTCCCAACGTTTATTTTGGCAGTTCCGCCCGGCTCAGGAAGCCACAAAAATCGCTTTAGAATATCGAATTTTCTTTTAGAATTTAGCTGGGTATGTCTAATATCATATTCGAGGAGAGCATTTTGATATTTATAATAATTATTTTTCTGTATTTTTCTAAATTCTCGTCCCTGGCACCGAAAGCCGCGTCTTTTCGCTCTGGAGACTAAGTCCCAACGTTTATTTTGGCAGTTCCGCCCGGCTCAGGAAGCCACAAAAATCGCTTTAGAATATCGAAATTTCTTTTAGAATGTAGCTGGGTATGTCTAATATCATATTCGAGGAGAGCATTTTGATATTTATAAAAATTATGTTTCTGTATTTTTCTAAATTCTCGTCCCTGGCACCGAAAGCCGCGTCTTTTCGCTCTGGAGACTAAGTCCCAACGTTTATTTTGGCAGTTCCGCCCGGCTCAGGAAGCCACAAAAATCGCTTTAGAATATCGAAATTTCTTTTAGAATGTAGCTGGGTATGTCTAATATCATATTCGAGGAGAGCATTTTGATATTTATAAAAATTATGTTTCTGTATTTTTCTAAATTCTCGTCCCTGGCACCGAAAGCCGCGTCTTTTCGCTCTGGAGACTAAGTCCCAACGTTTATTTTGGCAGTTCCGCCCGGCTCAGGAAGCCACAAAAATCGCTTTAGAATATCGAAATTTCTTTTAGAATGTAGCTGGGTATGTCTAATATCATATTCGAGGAGAGCATTTTGATATTTATAATAATTATTTTTCTGTATTTTTCTAAATTCTCGTCCCTGGCACCGAAAGCCGCGTCTTTTCGCTCTGGAGACTAAGTCCCAACGTTTATTTTGGCAGTTCCGCCCGGCTCAGGAAGCCACAAAAATCGCTTTAGAATATCGAAATTTCTTTTAGAATGTAGCTGGGTATGTCTAATATCATATTCGAGGAGAGCATTTTGATATTTATAAAAATTATTTTTCTGTATTTTTCTAAATTCTCGTCCCTGGCACCGAAAGCCGCGTCTTTTCGCTCTGGAGACTAAGTCCCAACGTTTATTTTGGCAGTTCCGCCCGGCTCAGGAAGCCACAAAAATCGCTTTACAATATCGAAATTTCTTTTAGAATGTAGCTGGGTATGTCTAATATCATATTCGAGGAGAGCATTTTGATATTTATAAAAATTATGTTTCCGTATTTTTCTAAGTTCTCGTCCCTGGCACCGAAAGCCGCGTCTTTTCGCTCTGGAGACTAAGTCCCAACGTTTATTTTGGCAGTTCCGCCCGGCTCAGGAAGCCACAAAAATCGCTTTAGAATATCGAAATTTCTTTTAGAATGTAGCTGGGTATGTCTAATATCATATTCGAGGAGAGCATTTTGATATTTATAAAAATTATGTTTCTGTATTTTTCTAAATTCTCGTCCCTGGCACCGAAAGCCGCGTCTTTTCGCTCTGGAGACAAAGTCCCAACGTTTATTTTGGCAGTTCCGCCCGGCTCAGGAAGCCACAAAAATCGCTTTAGAATATCGAATTTTCTTTTAGAATTTAGCTGGGTATGTCTAATATCATATTCGAGGAGAGCATTTTGATATTTATAATAATTATTTTTCTGTATTTTTCTAAATTCTCGTCCCTGGCACCGAAAGCCGCGTCTTTTCGCTCTGGAGACTAAGTCCCAACGTTTATTTTGGCAGTTCCGCCCGGCTCAGGAAGCCACAAAAATCGCTTTAGAATATCGAAATTTCTTTTAGAATGTAGCTGGGTATGTCTAATATCATATTCGAGGAGAGCATTTTGATATTTATAAAAATTATGTTTCTGTATTTTTCTAAATTCTCGTCCCTGGCACCGAAAGCCGCGTCTTTTCGCTCTGGAGACTAAGTCCCAACGTTTATTTTGGCAGTTCCGCCCGGCTCAGGAAGCCACAAAAATCGCTTTAGAATATCGAAATTTCTTTTAGAATGTAGCTGGGTATGTCTAATATCATATTCGAGGAGAGCATTTTGATATTTATAAAAATTATGTTTCTGTATTTTGCTAAATTCTCGTCCCTGGCACCGAAAGCCGCGTCTTTTCGCTCTGGAGACTAAGTCCCAACGTTTATTTTGGCAGTTCCGCCCGGCTCAGGAAGCCACAAAAATCGCTTTAGAATATCGAAATTTCTTTTAGAATGTAGCTGGGTATGTCTAATATCATATTCGAGGAGAGCATTTTGATATTTATAAAAATTATGTTTCTGTATTTTGCTAAATTCTCGTCCCTGGCACCGAAAGCCGCGTCTTTTCGCTCTGGAGACTAAGTCCCAACGTTTATTTTGGCAGTTCCGCCCGGCTCAGGAAGCCACAAAAATCGCTTTAGAATATCGAAATTTCTTTTAGAATGTAGCTGGGTATGTCTAATATCATATTCGAGGAGAGCATTTTGATATTTATAAAAATTATGTTTCTGTATTTTTCTAAATTCTCGTCCCTGGCACCGAAAGCCGCGTCTTTTCGCTCTGGAGACTAAGTCCCAACGTTTATTTTGGCAGTTCCGCCCGGCTCAGGAAGCCACAAAAATCGCTTTAGAATATCGAAATTTCTTTTAGAATGTAGCTGGGTATGTCTAATATCATATTCGAGGAGAGCATTTTGATATTTATAAAAATTATGTTTCTGTATTTTTCTAAATTCTCGTCCCTGGCACCGAAAGCCGCGTCTTTTCGCTCTGGAGACTAAGTCCCAACGTTTATTTTGGCAGTTCCGCCCGGCTCAGGAAGCCACAAAAATCGCTTTAGAATATCGAAATTTCTTTTAGAATGTAGCTGGGTATGTCTAATATCATATTCGAGGAGAGCATTTTGATATTTATAAAAATTATGTTTCTGTATTTTTCTAAATTCTCGTCCCTGGCACCGAAAGCCGCGTCTTTTCGCTCTGGAGACTAAGTCCCAACGTTTATTTTGGCAGTTCCGCCCGGCTCAGGAAGCCACAAAAATCGCTTTAGAATATCGAAATTTCTTTTAGAATGTAGCTGGGTATGTCTAATATCATATTCGAGGAGAGCATTTTGATATTTATAAAAATTATGTTTCTGTATTTTGCTAAATTCTCGTCCCTGGCACCGAAAGCCGCGTCTTTTCGCTCTGGAGACTAAGTCCCAACGTTTATTTTGGCAGTTCCGCCCGGCTCAGGAAGCCACAAAAATCGCTTTAGAATATCGAAATTTCTTTTAGAATGTAGCTGGGTATGTCTAATATCATATTCGAGGAGAGCATTTTGATATTTATAAAAATTATTTTTCTGTATTTTTCTAAATTCTCGTCCCTGGCACCGAAAGCCGCGTCTTTTCGCTCTGGAGACTAAGTCCCAACGTTTATTTTGGCAGTTCCGCCCGGCTCAGGAAGCCACAAAAATCGCTTTACAATATCGAAATTTCTTTTAGAATGTAGCTGGGTATGTCTAATATCATATTCGAGGAGAGCATTTTGATATTTATAAAAATTATGTTTCCGTATTT